TGTTCCTTTACCCGGGCTGTTGGTTGGATGGCAGCCGCGGCCGGTGCCCGGCGGTTACCCATGGGAGTGCGGACATTCAGTGACTTTCTCCAGGTCGCTACTGTGGGATCACCTCGCGCCTGTCGCACAGCGGTGTTCAGAGGATGTTCGAGACAGAATATTAGGTGAGCTTGAGAATAAAAATATAAAGACATCACAGGCGGGATAAAGGTACACTGTCAAAGACGTATTAAGTAGGTAGACACAGTGTAAACGTTTGTAGTGATATCGATACAATAGACAACAATATATTTTCCAACATACTTAAATATAGGGATGGTGAAATGAAGAATATATAACCTCTACTGGTGACTTAACCTTTGGATGTTGTGCAATGTTGGGATTTTGGATGCAGATAATAAAGGATGGAAAAGATTTTTCAAGTGCAGTACTACAAGCAGAAGTAATGTACTCTGTTTACTCTATTTGAACAAAGAGACCCAGAACAACACAGCACAAGTGCTTTAACATAACACAGAGGTTCCACCCCGATCCATAACAATTCTGTTGTTGTTTGCCGTGGATGTGTTTAGCTGCCAACTGTCCGTCATGTAACCTGCTGTTCATTTTCTCTGAACTCTTAGACATTTGGCATCATGTGGCATTCTGATGACACGGACCCCCAGGGCACTTACTCTTCAAGATAGCGACGTCACATCAAGTGCCCCCCAAAGCAGACACTTCATCAGCTTCACTAACAAAAGGAAGGAGTACTCAGAGCGTAGGATACTTGGGTAATTTCACTGTACTAAAACAACATTAAACTGCTGAATAAATGAAATGACTACCTTGGAATCACTGGCTATCTTCTTTTTAGGTATTCTATGCTGGAAATGTACGAGGTTGTGGCCAACGTTGATGACTACAAGCACTTTGTGCCGTGGTGTAAGAAATCTCTGACCATCATGAAGAGAGCAGGACACTCCAAGGCCCAGCTTGAAGTGGGATTTCCTCCAGTGGTGGAGAGATACACATCGATGATAACATGTGTCCGCCCTCATTTAGTCAAAGTGAGTGCTGTTGTTAGTCGTAATGTCTGCTACAGGCCTGTACACCAAATAATTTAGTTAAAGAAAACAATATTTTTTCTAATGAAAATTTTCTGATCACTGTTACTCCTTTGGCCAAATTCTAGGCAGTTTGTACAGATGGAAAACTGTTCAATCACCTGGAGACAATATGGCGCTTCAGCCCTGGCATTCCCGGTTACCCCCGCACCTGCACCGTAGACTTTTCTGTAAGTGGTCACGAGTTTTAGTGACAGAGTATCTGTTGTGTCCCAGACCTTTGACCTCTCTATTTATACACAGGACAGTGTATAAATAGAGATATGATTTGTTCAAGCAACAGCAGCAAGTTAACCCCTCCCCACTTCACCCCCATTGTTCCGTCACCTCTGCTCTTCCTGCCTGTCTGTTTCTGTCACCTGTCTAGTACAGGAGTATAGTACATTTATTTGTGGGCTACATAAAACGATTGTACCACCACCAGGTGTATATAAGTGTTGGGAGCGTTACTTTGAAAATTATTTTTTGTTTGGGAGGTTAAAGCAACATGGATGACATTTTGAAAATGACATGTGGACAATAACTGACATTTTTCTCCCACTTCTACTTCTTCACAGATTTCCTTCGAGTTCCGTTCACTTCTCCACTCCCAGTTAGCCACCATGTTCTTCGACGAGGTCGTCAAGCAGAACGTCGCCGCGTTCGAGCGGCGAGCCTGCAAGATCTACGGCCCTGAGACTCGTATCCCAAGGGAGCTCATGTTTCATGAGGTCCATCAGACGTGATCCCATAGGGCCGTACACCCCCACCAGGCCTTACAACCTCGTCATAGTCATTTATCCACAGAACGCTGCACCAACATCCTGCCACACTTCCAGATTCTGTTTCATCGTCATCTGAGAGGTGTTGTGAGCGTTACAGTGGAACATTGATAATTCCTCTTATAGCATCCTCAACAAATTCCTGCTTGTCTCCACCCCACCACCTTCTACCTCCACCCTAAGGATCATTGTTTAGAAGAAACAACCTCTGGCTCCTCTTTCTCCAAAACAGAGCTGTATTTATGAAAATCTGGCAGTAAATTATTGCAAAAAATCATTAGTAGTGGTTTAGATGCACATGGTATTTTTTAACGCTCAGCACAGTGACATTGAACAAAAACAACCTTTTATTTATTTTTAGTCAAAGGCACAGAGGTCATGTGACCCAGCTGGAATCCCACAGACAGTTCTTTGACACATTGTCACGTTGAAGTGTTTCTACTTTTCATTCAGCACCTTATTCAGGTCAGTCGCTCCAGAATTAAACTTAGCCGTTTTTTAATTCAAATAGAATTTTTAATGTGATCAGAATTGTAGTGAAGCCAGGGCAGAACACAGCATTTCAACCAATCACTATCCAATCCTTCATTAGCGGTCCTATGTGCAGTTGTATTGTTTTATTGGGATGTGGATTAAACGTGCCATTCTGGGAAGGTGAGTGTTGTTACTGAGGTGCAACATTCTGCAAAGGGAAAAAAAGGTAATCTTTTTATTGGTTTATTTAGATCTGAGTTTGGGGAAAATGTAGCTTTAACTCGGCTGTTGCGCTGCTGAGATAGTTGTTTTTGGAGATATGCTAATTTAAGTAACGCCTTGCTGTAAAGCCTCGTCTGTCATTGGGTTAAAAAAAAAAAAAAAAAAA